TGTAATAGGCGTTCTGCTAACTTTATTATGTCGAGAGTAATCTCCTTCCATATGAAAAATAAAAAATAAAAAATTACTTTTTACACACACAATATATATATATATATATATATATGTAGAAAAAGAAGAAGGTGTTAGATATGACTTTTTTTAGGATAAATTACAAACACATTTCTTAGTGTTTATTTAAATTACAAATTATTCTGTGGTTTTAAAAATTATATTATGCCCTCTAAGGTTTTTAATTTCATAACAAATAGGTCTTTTTATTAATAAATCATTAAGCTAATTAACAGTTTTTAATAAAGTTAAAATTTTATTTTAATTAATAATTTAGATAATTTTATTATTGTATAGGTGAACGGTTAAAAATTTCACTTTTTCAATTGATTCTGTTAAATAAAAAATTCTAATAAGGAGATATATGTAATTTTTTAAATTACAAGAAACAATTTATATTTAAACAAATCTCAAGAAGTGTATTTATAATTTACTTATTTTATTTTATTTTAAATTGATTGCATTGCATTGGGGCCATATTCTTGATCAACAGCATCCATACCCACTCCCTCAGCCTTAGCTTTAGCTGTTAGCCCTTTTATGACCTATTGACACAAAACAACCACAGAAAACATGTGTTGCCAAAGATTTGAGATTAAAATTCAAACTCAGTTTCCTCTTAGTGACATGTAATTGAAATGAATCGCCACCAAACCCAATTAGAATGTGAGATTCTCTAGCAATAGCAGCTCTGATAGTTCACCATTGAACTTGCTCTCATCTCCAATTATTGTTCTATTTTTGCGAAGTTATAATTTGTTACATATCAAAATGGAATTGAGGACAAAAAGTAAAAAAAAAATTAAAAATTAAAATTGAAAATTGAAACTTAAAATAGACAAAAAGTGTAATTTAAAATTTATATAAAATATGTTATTATGTCAACTTAACGTGTTGTCACCATGATATTTTTTTTAATCTAATTTTAGATAGACATTTATTATTGGAGTAAATTAAAAAAAATAATTTAAATGTTATGACCAAAGTGAAAAAAATTTAAATTGTGCATATCTGGACAGTCCCATTCCACTATGATGTACTTTTTGTTAACTCTATTCTGTTGAGACTAATCTCCTTCCATATAAAAAGAGAAAAATTTATGTCCACACACAAATAAATAAATAAATAAATAAATAAATAAATATATATATATATATAGAAAAAGAAGAAGAAGTTGTCAAGCCATCTCCAACGTTGTATCAAAGTTATCATCAAATTTGAATTTGATGAACAATGAGTTCTTTTTCAGCTCTAACGGTTTCATTAAATCAGTATCAAATTGAGAAAATAAAAAATGTTTCACCAAATAGAGGATGTCTGGAAGTGTTTAGCATTTTACTGTTTGGTGTCGTTGATTTTGCAAAATCGGATGACCGATCGAATGTCTAGTCGGTTGTTCCCCGATCATCTAGTTGTATGAAAACTTCCCACAGCAAAGCATACTCTCGGAAGTGATGGATTACACTTGTCGGACGTCTGACTGGTGGTCCTCCTGGTCGGCCGATGTGTTGATGATAGTCAAAAATGCCTATTGGAGTACTGGATATCAGATGAAATTTTTACTTAGATTTAATAAAATCAATAATACACCATTAGAGATGCTCTTAGATATGATTTTTTAAAATTGATTGCATTGCATTGGAGGCATATTCTTGGTCAACAGCATCCATACCCCCCACACCTACCCACTCCCTCAGACTTAGCTTTAGTTGTTAGTCCTTTTATGATTAGGCCTATTGACACAAAACAATCACAGAAAACATGTGTTGCTAAAGATTTCTTAAAATTCTATTTCTAAATTTATCTATTGATGTTGAATTCTTACATGAATCAACAACCTATAACCCTTCATGCCATTATAAGTAAATTTAAGTACGAAATTTTGATAGTCTTAAAAGCTTTTTCCATTAATAATCTTATCCATATGCATTAGAGACGACCATTTTAGAACATTTCGTCCAAACCAGACTAGTTTATGCTAAAGAGGCACTGCATCATCATGCCATTCCAAAGATGAATTAGCTGAGAATTCTCCATTAGATGAAAGAGCCATTTCCACTCTCCTTCACAAAATGATCTCTATGCAACTTATACACACCTCTCTTTCCCCAAATTATATAACACGATCTTTCCCCAAATTTTCTATTACAGTTGGGACGACCAAGACAGTGGCAATTGCCGAGCCAGAGACAAGTTGCCCTTACCATCAATCTCCGATCAAATGTTTGATAAATGTCATCTCCCTTGGCTTGAAAAGTTTTCTTATTACAGTCCTGGAAAAGGCCTGTTTGGATATGGAAATAGGATTTTTACAAAAGGAATTGAAGAAATCATTTGCAAAAATGGATGATTGTCATTGGCATCCACACAAACTAGAAAGCACTGGACATCATGGTGATACCGAGTAACCTGTACAACTTCATTTGTGACTCTTCAAATATCCATACCAATCCAAAAAAAAAAACTCTTTAGATATCCATACAAATAGCGACATGGCTAGTGTAGTAATATAAGTACTTGACTTTTGGATCAAGTCATGCTCACCAACCACAATGGAGTCCCCATCCTCTCCCCCTTGCCAAGACCAAAAAAAGAAAGAAAAGAAAAAAATAAAAAAGAAGAAGAAGAAGAAGAAGAAGAAGGCAACCATACAAACGAGAGAGAGAGAGAGAGAGAGAGAGAGAGAGAGGGAGAGAGAGAGAGAGTTATTCTACATAGATGGTTTCTGGTAATGAGAATAAAAAGGTTCACTCATTCAACTAAATTACGCATAGACAACCAAATATCCAAAATTTAACTGTTTAAAAGTTTAACATCACAATCAGAAACACACAACCATATACAACAGGTCAATTAGTTCCCCATGACTTGGTACTTCCTCCAAAGTTACATTCAGTTATGACATGATTAAGTTGGTCAGTCAGGCCTCCACACTCAATTTTGTTTGGCACAGTCGTAAGTTTTTAGAAAAGTTTAATTCATAACAAAATGGTACCTTGAATCAACATAACTCTCAACATCCCAGAGGAAAGAACCAAAAGTCACAGCCTCCAGCACAAGTCTCTTCAAACCGCCAAAACTAATTTTGATGAATTCATCCTTGGAAGAATCGACAGTGCCTTCAGGAGTAATGACTATCTCAGGCCTACCAAACAATGCTTCTGTGTGTTTCTCAATGATGGTAACAGCCTCTTTGGATCTTATAGTTGCATATTTCTGAAGTGTCTCCCCATCAAATGACATCACATAGGTTCTTAGTCGAGAAGACTTGATCCCATGACCGAAACCCCCAGGGCTGATGCCACCAGCCCATGACGAGACTTCAGGGTGGGATTGCACCTTCTTCAGGGAGTCCTCACTACCAGAACCGCCGGGTCTCACCTCCTCCCCCAAAGTTTTCTGAACATTAATCTCTTCATCATCTAACCCCTGTGGAAGGATCTTCATTGTCTTCTCAAGCTGAAACCTCTGGTCAACCCGCTTGAGGAAGTACCCATACATCACTGAAGCCGCATAAACCTGGCCAACCCTGAGTTTACTTATCTGAGCTACAGAGGCTGAATCACCCAACCGATTTCCCAGAATGAGAGCCAAGTGGTTCTGGATCATCTCATAAGCTTCAGCAGAGTGCAGCTGCTCAAGCTTCTCATCTTGGCCGGGCCACGTGTCAATTCGGCTGGATGGATCAGATGATGAGGGTCCTATGGTAGGTATCAAAGAAACATTAGCATCCATGAACTTCTGCACAACCAAAGCATACAGTATCTCTTCCAAAGCCTTCCTCCTTTCATTAGCCTTCACCTCAGCAATTCTCCTAAAAATTACAAAACCCATCAGAAACTCAGTTATCACTTCAATCTCAGAATGTTCTTTTTTTCAGACCTGACAAATTGATATGCAGTAAAGAAAAATTGGACCTTTTGGCCACTATGATTACAGTATACACAAACTTAGTAATAATAAGCCTCAGTTTCAACACTACCAGAACAAAACATACCAGTATGTAAATTACATATGGTTACCAACCTGTATAATACTAGATCGGTTCCAGAAGCAGAAGCCTTGTCCTTCTGTTTCTCAGCATCGCGGTCAGTTTGAAGCTGTTCGAGCTGCTGATCCACTGCAGCTGGGACAAGATGTGGGTGGCTTACCAAGATTTGAGACAGGAACTGCCCCACTGGAGACTCAAGCTGAAGCGGAGCAATAGGAGCAGTTGGCTCCAATGAATCAGAAGATGATGCTCTGATTACACCGCATTTCCTGCTCCCAAATGCTATTCTTTTTCGCCCCGATTCGAAGTGAGAAATTGATGTGTATTGCTGTGAGAAAATCATTCCAAACATAACATATCCACACACGACATTCAAAATAAAAAATACAAGGACCACCAGGTCCAAGGTCCAAATATACAATTAAGAGCCAGAAGTTGAACAGTTCACAACAATCAAAGCCAGACAATCCAACAAGCATTCTCTGTCAGCCCACATAACTAGGTGATATAAAAAATGGGGATTTTGGTGAACAAAGGTGCTCATGCATGGCTAAAGCTAGATGCCTCACACAAATGCTAGGTACAGACAGTGAGATGGTATTAAATAGCCGAGCATACATAAAAGCAAACCCAAATTTCCTAAACAGGTGTTAAGCTCAAGTCAAGCTTGGCCTCAGCTTAATCCATATGAGCCCAGCAAGCAACTATTCAACAGCCTAATACAAGGTTGAATTTGACTTATATCCATTCCTATATGGATAAGTATACACCAGCTTATTGGTTTCGAAACATATGTTGCAGCTTATCCCTAAAATTCACAAAGAACTTACTAGAATACACAAAGCATTTCCATAGTCCTAAGTTCGGTGTTAAATGCTATTTCAATTCAAGTCATGTACTAAACTAAACCAATTTTAATTGATCACCAAAGAATGACAAGTCGGAATTGGAATCCCCAACCCATGATAACTTTTTAACAAGTTCAAGCAATCTCAACACTTGGAAGAGGAAGAGGAAGAGGAACAGAGAGAATAAAAGTTTAAAAAAATTTTGGTTCTTTCTCGTCAATTTATAGGCAAAATCCATCACAATAACCATAGATCACTCAGAAACCTAAGCAAAACCCAGAAAGAAAATAGTAATCTAGAGCGCAAAATTGGCATGCACACTCATATACACAGAAATACATAATATATGACATGCATTTAAAGAAGATACCTTGTTTGTAAAAGAAGTGGAAACCCATGATTTGGTAGGAAAGAGCGGATAATTAGGTCCAATAGCCGATCGGGCACCCAAATGAGAAGAAGATCGTCGTCTACAACAGATGCCAAAAGAAGTCTGGACAACAGTCGCCGTTTCCATCTTCAACCACTGCAATCACACACACCCACTGTTTACCAAATCACAAATCCCTAAATCCAAACAACCCAACCCACAACAAATTTTTTTTTAAAAAAAAATCATACTTTCAATAAATAAATTAAAAAAAGAAAAGAAAAAAGCAGTACCTTTGTGTAGAAAGCCGAAGCAATTCGGGAAGACAGAGAATATACTAATAATATAGGTGACGGGTAGGTAGTCGAGAGCTGAATCGATCTGTCTACGGTTTTTCTTGTTATTGGAAAGTAGTTGTTGATCTCGGGTTGGGGTTCTCTGAATCGATTGGCGAAATACAGAGGGATACTGTGGGAGACCCTGAATTTATGTCTAGTTGATGTGATACGTGGTTAGTTGTGATAAGCGTGGTTATTTATGGAATCAAACTACCCCCTGATATTATGAATAATTACGGCAAGCCCTCAGTTTGACTAGAAATTATTTTGAGTAAAATAGTCCGTTAAAATAATTAATAAAATAAAATATCACATTTAATTTATAATTATTATATTTTTTCACTTATAATTATTAAATTAATTACAAAAAAATCAATTATCCTCTAAATCATAACTTTTCTAGTTAGACTAAAATTGTAAAAAAATTAAATAATCAACTAAAATAACTTAGGAGCCAAAGGGAAAGGTTGGTTAGGTATTTTGAGGATCGTGGGGGTGTTTGCAGTTTGATTGTGGTTGGGAAACTTTAAATCTGTCATTCGTCCGTTGGATTGGTGAATTGAAAAAAATCAATCCGCATTCGTCCATCGGATTGGCGAATATAGATTGACAGATTGATAGATGGATACGAATCGGTTTGGCGGTTTAAATTTTTATAAATTTTGAATACAATACAACAACTTGTTAACATTTTTTTTTATAACAATCTAATTCAACATAATCAAAAGATTATCAAATAAATTGTCAAATACCAATAATAAATACATATAAGAAAATCATGTATTATCAAAACTATTTCATTACTTTTTTTTATTCAAAAACTATTTAATTTGATTTTTTAAAAAATGAAAAAATTAAGCCTTATATTTTGGGAGATTTTTTTTAAGGTCTCAGTATTAAGATTTTATAATATAAAGGACATCCAATATTTTCATAATATTTAAGATCCCTCCAGAGAAAATTCAATCTAAAGAAATTCTCTCTAGAGAAATTTTAGAAAATTCTTTGGCCTTTCCACTCTCCAGAGAGAATTTTTAGACTTCCCACTCTCTAGAGAAATTCTAGACTTCCCACAAAATTCAAAGTTACCTAGTAAAGAATCAGTGTTGGTGAACAAAAAGTGATTGAATTGAATTTGCATACTCCCTTCGTCCCAAAATAATGGTCCCTTTTGGAGAATCTAACTTTTTTTGGTAGTACAATTATTGCATTTGAAAAAAATTAATTTTTCAAAATTATCCTTTAATAGTACATTTTTTGGGGAATGTCAATGTCATAATTATACTTTTTATGTTGTTAATAAATTTAAAAGAAGGGCAAAATAAGAAATTTATATTATTTTTGTACTTGATTTTTGAATGGACTAATATTTTGGGACAATGAAAAATGGAATAAGAGACTAATATTTTGAGACATATGAAGTATAACTAATAAGCTAAAATAACTATAATGAGTAACTATATATATAGATATATACTTGAAACAGAGGATGAGAGGGAAGGCAGTGAGGGCAAAAATCTAAGGTCCCTTTAAAGAAAATTCTCTCTAGAAAAATTCTTTCTCTGGCCTTCTCAAAGAAATTCTCTCTAGAGATTTCTGTAGACTTCCCACTCTTTAGAGAAATTATGGACTTCCCACAAAATTCAAGGTTACCCAATAAAGAATCAGTGTTGGTGAACAAAAAGGGATTGAATTGAATTTGCATACAATTAATAAGCTAAAATAATTATAATGAGTGACTATATATATAGATATATACCTGAAGCAGAGGATGAGAGCGATAAGAGGGAAGGTAGTGAAGGCAAAAGTCTAACACTATGTTTGGATTGAGTGATTTGGAGAGAAAAGAAAAGAAATTGAGTGATATGTATTTTTCTTATTTGTTTGGATAACCTAAGTAGAGAGAAATGGGAAGAACTGGAGAGAAACTCATTTCTCTTATAAGTCTCATTTTCAATCTTCCCAAAAGTGGAGAGATTGGGAGAGAAAAGAAACCACTATTTTCATAATACCTATTTTGTCCCTATAAAAATAAAAGAAATAAAATGATTGAAAATATAAAAAGGTTATTTTGGTAATATAACATAAAATAATTTCTTTTCTTTTCTCTTAATGAAACCTAACCAAACAAGAATGAGAGAAATCACAATCATTTCTTTTCTTTTATTTCTTCCTTATCCAAACAAAAAGGAGAGAAATCACAATCATTTTTTTTTTCTTTTCTCTTATTACTTAAGTAATCATTTCTTTTATTTTCTCTCCTAGGTTCCCAAACATAGTGTAAGGTCTCAAGAGAAATTCTCTCGAACAACTCTTCATTTTCTTTTCCTTTTTTGAATTTCCTTCGTCTCTAAGCTTTTCTCAACCCTCTTCCACATTTCAGATCTTAGGTTTTCCTTCTCTCTCTCTCTCTCTCTCTCTCTCTCTCTCTCTCTCTCTCTGTGCAACTCAACCTCACTTATGGTCAGCCGTTTCGATCGCAACCTCTTCGACATAGATGAAGTTAATCCCTTTGCTCTAAGCTCTTTCTCTTTCTCTCTCTCTCTCTCTCTCTCTCTCTCTCTCTTTGTGTGAAAAAAATCCTAAGTTTGGTGTACCATGAGTGTACAATTTGAAGTAAGCACTTGAGGTTTCTGAGAATTTTAGAGTTCTAGGGCTTCCTGCTCAGTCCTTGTTTGGTCAATTTGTTTTGACTACATGATCGGTGTAGCTTTTGAAGTGAATTCGTTGTCTAAGCATTTAGATCTCATCAAGTGGACTTTGGTCTCTTGTCTCACCGATGAACTCATAAATTTTGAGGGACCTTAGATTACAAAAAAAATTATTATGGACTTCTCCTATTGCTAAAAGCTGGAGAGAGATGTTAGACCAATTTTTCCTACATTTTTCATTTAAAAATATCAAATATCAACACTTACCATTTGATAAAAGGATTTCCAAATTGAAAACAAATTAAAAATACATCAGAATATCTAAACTTTTTTTCAATTAAAAACACAAACAAAATATCTAAACAAATTGAAAATACAAAATCTTATAAATTACTAGGGATGCTCATGGTTTGACAATTCAATTGTGGCGAAAGAAATCTCAAACTCGCCATCTATCCAAAACTATGCGAATTGAAAAAAATAATCCGCAACCGTCCTCTAGTCATCACGCATCTGTCCAAAATATGGTTCGATCGGTTTGGATAGATCGAAATATCCATTGAACACCCCTAGTAACCAGTATGTAGATTATTTTTAGACAATTAGAATAAACACTCTAAAAATCATTCACTTATTTTAGTTATTAAATTCAATATATATATAAGATATGTTATGTACATCTACATTAAGATTAGCGGCTAAAATACAATTTTTTTGTCAATTTACTTAACGAAAATAGGTAAATGACTTATATTGAAGAAAAAAAAAATTAAAAGATTGGGGTTTAATTGATAAAATTGAAAATTAAAAATTTATTTTGTTAGAAAGATAATATATATATTTTTTCAATTGCCCCCATGTTGTAAGAGGAGCTAATAGGAACATATTGGAATTTTTTTTTAAATGTTTGATTGAAATTGTTACAATTGAAATATAAAAATGATTTTTTTATTTAAATTATGCCCAAATTTTAATACATAATTAATTAAAAAAAAGCTTAATCTTAAAAGGAGTGAACTTACTGCGTGCTTGAGCAGATGGACAAAAGGATCCTTCTGTAATATAAATTTACATCCATTAACAAATTTAGATTGGACACTCTCAGTGAGTCTAATATCTTTTATTTATTTGAGATTTCATCATCGCTTTGAGTTTATTTTTGTTAGTGATTTGTTGTGTTTAAAATTTCACTGTATTTATAATTTATTAAGCTTGATTTTAATGTTATACTTTGTAATTAAAATTACTTGTGTTAGTGTATATATAACGAAAGGTTCCTCTCCAATTCAATTTATGGATTCAACGTGGTCTTACTTTAATGATTCAATTTATTAATTTTTAAAATTGTGTTAATTATCAATGAGAAAATTAAAATTAAGACTTAGTTAAAAAATTAATTTATTGAATAAAAATAAACATATAAAAAAATTAAGGGCAAACTATTACTGGTCAATAGGAAGTTTTTCTGAATTTCACCAGCAATGGAGTGACGAAATAATTACAGATTCATGGTTTTGAATAATTGATGGATAGATTTACCCTTGTACAGTTGGGACTTGCATCCTAGATACATTGGACTTGCACTCAACTAGTTTTATCTTCAACGAAAAGAGGGAGTGTGAGGTGGCAACGGGGAAGGGGCGGAAAGGCTTGGGTAGTTCTAGTGGCTAGGGTTTGGCTTGGTGGGCGGGAATGGTTTGGGGATGACAGATGGTTGGTCATTTTGCACATCAAAAATAAAACACTAGTGTTTGGTAACGTTTACGTTTTCAGTTTATATTTATAAAAATTTTATAAACTGATTTTTGTTTATTTTTTGTTTATTTTTAGAAAAACATAAACTACAAACGCGTTTGGTAATTGACAAAATGTTTAAAAAAATTTAAAAATATAAAAAAGACTGAGAAATGGCAAGTGGTGGCAAGTGGCGGCGGAAGGCGATGGTGAAAAGTATTGACGGTGGGTGGTGGGTAGCTGGTGGCGGATGGGTGGTGGTGGTGGTGGTGTGTGGGTGACGGTGGCGGGTGGTAGCGAGTGGGGGGTGGTGGTGGTGGTGGTGGTGGCGGTGGCGGTGGCGGGTGGTGGCAGGTGGGTGGCGGATGGCGGGTGGTGGCGGGTGGGTGGGTGA